TTTCATCTTTTAGGTTAAAACATCCACTCGTATTTGACTCACATCAATGCAACGTTGTAACTTGGACCCAAATCATTTATGTTTAAATTGAGATTACAAAGCATAATAGTGCTGCAGCGGCTCTATAAACAGAAATTAGACAAATAAGCACGTCTCTAATTACATTTGAAACATTTAAACATCTACTAATGTATCTGTTAATTATGGAGCTCTTTAGTTATCTATATGTAACATTACCCAGATGCTCTATCTGTGGAAGTCTGTCTATTGATAATGGTAAACACTTCGGATGGTTAGCGGGAAAATTAGTGTAGCTAAATTGAGTGTTATATTTTAATGTATATTATTAAAGTTACTCGTATGAATTCTGTTATAAGTAAGTAACTAACAAATGTTGTTTTTCTTTCTTCTGACTGGCAAACGTGTGCCATTTTAAAACTGGTAGGACTGTCCCCGATCCTTAAAGCTACACTGTTTATCCTTTATTAACAATAGATGAAATGACTGTGTTCGATGGAGCATTTTAGCCTCTTTTCGCTTGTTGTTTGGATTTTGAGGTTCCCAGACTCCTCTGTCAACATCCTCGTTTCCAATAACCTGCGCATCACTGCACACAGAAAGATTAGCGTTAGCGACTAGCTGGTTAACTCATGAGGCAGTCAGCCGTTCAAGGGCGATACAGTTAACACCATTTAAAAATGGAGCGAAAAGAATGATGCAACGCGGCTTTAAGTCAGTTTCATGACCAATGGCAAATTCCCAACTCCTCTGATGGTCCAATAACTCCAGTTGGGAATTTCTTCTATCCTCATCCTTAGTGTGTTCAGGAGCTTTAAGTCATTCCATCAAGTGTCACCAAACTCAGGCGAGGAGTTTCTCTGTAATCAATCTGACAAACAGACAAAAAACACAACACCCTTGATGGAGATAATTACATATACGATAATATTGCTGAAAAATATGTTCAACCTGGCAACGGATGTTTAACACAATACATTTTTTTGCTCAAAATAAATCACAAGATGTTAATGTCTGTGATGCCAGTTTAAAACAAAACAACAAACAAATAAATAAATAATACCTAATATACAAATATTATTGTTATTATTATAAATATTTCAATGTTATCAACCTGTTTCCTTTAACATTATAGCCTCCGACAGCTGAACCCTGCATGCCACTGATAACGGTTTCCTAAGGTAAAAAAAAAAGGCTTTTAAAGAACCACCTAGAGGATAGTTTCATGACATCCTCTGCACAGGAAATAACCCACTGAACTGCTGAGAGAAACCCATAAAGCCCCTATTTTCACCGTCTGTAACCCCAGCAAGACCACGGCCATAAACTCCCTCTGCAGCCTCCGATCCAGCGTGCACACTTAAACTGTGCCCACCACTGCTGCTCAGAATGACTCAATCCAGCTTAGCACACACACAGCAATACTCAAATCCCTCTTCCTTTTAATTCACACTCTCATGGCGGGGTGTTAATGGCTTACACAACAGATGTTTAGTATGCTGCGTTTAGGTCCATGTGAGCAGAAGCCACCCACAGTCTTAGACATGCATGACAACCTGTGACTGTGTCTCTGAGGCAAAATAAGCCTGTTCACACTTATGTTGCTTGCATGAGGCAACAGAAACAAACGGGCACGAGTACACGCACCAACATGCGACAAGGGAAGACAACATGCAAAACAGTGAGTGTGAATACGGAGGGAAGGAAATGACAGAGGGAACAACGGCTTCCATCAGCTGGGGAGAGGTTTTCACTTGGATCAGGATGTATGTATACACACTAATGCAGTAATGAGGGTATTTGACAGAAGTGTACTCTATAGCAACAATTAGTATGGGAGGAAAGTTGCCTCATCGTGAGCGGAGCAGTCAATTTCACAAACAGCTGCAATTCATCTGATTGGGAGGAGAGCGTCTGTGTTCATTACGACTGATCAAGGCAATCCTGCACAGTGGGGGAGAAATCCCGACACACCTGAGGCAAACAGAGGCTTATTTCTTCAGGTTCAAGATAGGTAGAGATGTGTGTACATAACAAGTCCAAATACAGCAGCACAGTTTTTATTCCAGGAAAGGCTGAAGCAGACTCACACGCTAAAACAGGTGTGATGTGTTCACTGGTTTGACACTTTGACCCCCAGGTGGAGATGAAAGGCCGCCACATTCTCTATTTTGCTCACGCAAGAGTTGATCTTGTCCTGGGTAATATTTTCACCTATCTCGCTGTGCAGTCACATCAGCAAATTGATTATAATGTAATGGGATTCAGCCCACCGCTGACATCTTGTACTTCAGGACTGCAAAAAGCTTCCAGCATGAGAGTTTAATGCTGTATTCATGTTGTAGGGGACATATAGCAGATGTAAGACCCCCACTACACTCTAAAGTACCTTTTACTACAGGTTTCAGTTGGTTAATATTACAACAAAACAGAGTTAACATCAGTTTAAGGAGTTACTGCTACAATGGAAGCTCAGTGTGATGCGATGGAACCTGGCGTCTGACACTTCCTGTATTCCGACATCCGTAGACATCCATCTATATATGTATGAACTATACAGTATTTTCTCTGCCCATGGCAAATGCTATGTTAACAAAATGTGTCAGGGCAGGATGTTTTTGGATAGGGGGTTACTAGAATGGCTGTAAAGTAAAGATCTTTGATGCATCTTCCAGGCTGCAGGCAAAATGTAAAACTCCAAACATTTTCAAATATGTTACAGTCAGTTTTTCAGAAAAGAATTCCACTATTCTGTCCACCACTGAAATATGAGAACATCTATGGATAACCATGACAATTTGTATACAAGTTAATGTTTTCCAGAAGAAGAATCCTAATGACCTTGGCAGGCGAGACTCTGAGGCTCAGACTCTTCAACTAGGGAAACAGAGTTACCTAACTCTTTGTAAATACCTATCCCAAACTAAAAGATAATGCACTTTTCTGTACCAATCCTTTCTTGAAACAGTTACTTTTAACTCTCAAAATAATTGACACATGAGGACAAATTGAATTGATATGATCCTAGTAACATATTTTGAACAAAAACAAGGCAATATTCAACAAATGTACTAATTAAAATGCACTATATATGATGTTTCATGTGACTTGAATCACATAATAACTGGGTGCCATCTAATACTAAACTGAGATAGCCAAAGAACACATATGTAACCTTTGGACACTACAGCAAATGTTGGATATGTTGGGTCGTACCAGTGGAAATAAATCCTTCGCAGCCACCACTGAATTAAATTTTACAAATAATCTAATACTAATAATGTTTGTGTAATATTATCTTTATCTGTAACCGTGCAGATAACAGATTTAAAAACAATGAAAAAAGAAACAAATGTGATACATCATTCAAAGGTTGATTTATAATTTGAATGCCAAGGTTATTACTAACGCTTCAATAAAATGGGTACAGCCCTAGTTAAAGATCATTTTCTGCTGGTCTGAGGAAGTTAGTGAAGGGTTGTCAGATCCTGCCTGCTCCATTTCAGCACTACGGACAGATAACACCAGACACCGGGACCCTCTACTCTTCAACAGCGCTATCCATGGTCCTGAAACCACAGACGAGCACTAGACATGTAACTCTGCCAATCATTTTGTTGTTTTTGCTACAATTCTACAGATACATGAACACAACACAACCCAACATGTACGTGCATGATGAATATGTAAATATTAAAAAACACAAGATGACCCAATATTTCAGCTCATAAACAGATGAAATAACAGCGAAAACAGCCAGTCCTCAACTAGAACACATCCTGCCGCAAGTCTAAATCATACCCTGTACATTATTAGTCAGCACTTTGCACACACCCACACAGGCTATTATAATTAAAAGTAACCAACACAATAGTCCAGGCATACCATAGAAAGTGACTAGGACAGCTTAATGTTGGTTATGTAATAGGGACATGTCAAATTGCATTGCAGCTGTCAGAACGGGCATACAGGTGACCACTATGCGATTGTTTGACTTATTTAAAGTAAATGCTTTGGGAAGAAAAGGTACAATCAGGATTTATTTCATAGAATGATTCAATCAGATTCCAAAGTTTGGCCACGCCCCCTGGCCCAACTGTTTCTGCAGTATAGGAAATAAATGGTCTGAAAGTAATACACAGCAGCAATTTTCACGGGGATTGGCAATTTTTCGGGTAATAAAACCTTATGCCATAGGTTTCAACTTTACAAAAACATCCACTCCAACTGTGCGGCTTTCATTTATCTTGGTTCAGTTACTTTAATTGACCCCTGCTTTGCACATTTCCTGCTACTCCTTAAGGTGGCAACACACTGTAAATGCCTTTTATGCTTGTTTGTTTGTCACCCGTTGCTTGCGAGTACTAGTATTTGCAATTATATTAGAATTAAGCTGTTTTTGTTCAAGTGTTCAAGACATTTTCTACTTAACTGAGGTTAAGTGAATTCAAATGTGACCTTATGGGAGAGCACAGATCATGGCCAAATTGTCAGGAGAAGCCTCGAAATGTCTAAAACAAAAAGGTTACATCATATATTATTACACAAAGGCACTGAATACCAGCTGAGGTACTTTTTCAGATTTATTTCCAGCATTTCTTATGCAAATTTCACTCGTAAGGCCATCGACCAATATATCTCCATACTGTACCGGCAGCTCTGCACCTTGTCATGCCTAATCTGACACTCATGAGTGAGACCCTCCACCCCATGGGACGTGAGGCACTCGCGCACATGACATATCTGGCTTTAAAATGACGTCACGGCAGCGTGCAGCTCAACGGGCAGGTCGTTCGTCAGTCTGAAGAGAAGAGGAGCAGCAGGAGACGGAGCAGCCTCCTCTCCTCTCCCTTGACAAACTGTCATTCCCCCTCTCTCGAACTCCTCGGAAACTACTCTCAACCTCCAGGATTCTTCTTCGGCGTTTATCCTCGTCCTTTTTTCAGTTGCACCTAATTCTTCTTTTTCATTATTTTTTTTACTTTGTCTACACGCTGAACACCCCCCTCCATTGATGTGAATAGATAATGAGGACCCCCTACCAGCGGTGACTTGTCGTCTCCTTCAAAAAGCGAGCATCCTCATCTTCCGCCCCCTATTTTTTTTGGATGTTTTCAACAATGTAGGAGAAGCTGTCATTTCAGCAACGAGGATGCCAACTACATGCCTTGTTTTTCTTCTCCACACCTTACATCTTTACATTCAACTAGGGGATATGAAAGATTTTCGTGAAGGCAAAGTTTGAGGGTACCTCTGTCGGTTTCCCGCTCACCTGACCGCGTGAACCCCTCGCTGTCTATCGCCAACAGAACAATTGACGAGCAACTTAAAAGACTTATTGTTCTGCCGATGTGAGTGGGATTTGGCAGCGTTATTGGAGGAATTTCATGTGCGCAACGTTGAAGGATATGGCTTAAAATAATGGTTGCGTTACTGACAGCCGGAGTACGGTCCGTCACTTGAGTGTTTTATCAGCTATTGTCGACTTTGGAGGAAACCCATCTAAATGGGAGGATACCTGGAAGACTGAGTCGGATACGGCAATCGAGAAAAATGTGGATAAAACGGAGTCTTGGGCGCAGGTAAGAAATTAACGTTATTAGTAATTACAGTGCAATTTTGGGAAAACGAAATCTGTGCACGGGGTTTTGTGATGTTTCACATTTGAAGCCAGTGTTCGACAACATGTTGTCTCAGTTTTTAATCTACGCCACTGCAAGTTATAAGAGTCTGCTGGAAATGGTTATATCATAAGGTCCGTACAAAACATGCAAACGGAGGTTCTCTTGCACTAAAGTTATTTAGATACACCGATTTGTTTCCGTTGTGTTGTTGACACTAAATAATTATAAGGCGACGGCTGAATGTGCATATGTTTTATGATGTTTAAAAGCAAGAATATGATCTAAAACTTCACGTCCTCCACGCTAGGGGTCGCCAACAGTACGGCGCAAGCGACACACATACACTCACAGACAAACGCGGACGCGCTCAAAAACACACGTGTACTCACGCACGCGCATTCACAGCCAGCCTCAAGGTAAGGTCTGGCAGCTCCTCCTCACTTGTGAGAACAAACACATGCACGCTCTCTCCCAGGAACGCGCAATTAATGAGGTAATTAGCAGTTGAAAAGATGCATTAATTTTGGGGAGGCAGTAGCTCTGTCTGTAGGAACTTGGCTTGGGGTTTAGGTTCTATAAAACCAATACTGCTGAGGTGCCCCTGAGCATGGCACTGAACCCCACACTGCTTTCCGGGCAGATGAATATAATAGTTACTAATTGTAGGATATTAAAATGCATTATCTTTTTTTATTGTTAATGTCTTTGCTGTTAACAATTAAAAAATTAAACATATTTCTGATACATTTTGGCTTTTGAAGTCTTATAAATATGGAAGTTGTCAGTTTAAGTATTGTGCTTAAGGATGGAGATATAAGCTTTACAAAACATTTAATCACAATTTGCTACCTGTTTCATTTCATTTCAAACCTTTATTTATCCAGGTGTATCCCATTGAGATCATTGATCTCTTTTTCAAGGGAGACCTGCTCAAGTAGGTTCCACATGAAACATAAAAACATAAACAGAACAACAAAAAGGACATCATACAACAAAAAGGACATCAAGTACCTGTATACTTCTCTTCCTGTTATAAACCATTACAAGCCATAGGACGTAATAAAAACTTTGTTTTTTATGATAAATTAATAAATATCCCTAAACTGAAGCAGTATTGAGACCAGTTAACTGACTCAGTTAGGGGCGTCTGCTAACAAAAGCTAAAAATGGTCTCCTTCATTTGCCGTAAAATAGCTTCAGAGGTAATGACACACTGTGAAATGAGTCCTAACCTGCAAGAGGTGGGATTGCCTTGCCAGCTGCTGGATCTCATTCCCACCGGTGGCTCCTAATTCCTGCCCATTTTCAGCCGTTTTGTTTATTATGCATGACACACACTGTACGTCTTAGGGCTGACCTCGCAGGCTAATGGCAATAGACGGCGTAGACGGAGCAGTTGCATAAGATGATGAAATGAAATGCATTTATGTTCCATATCTCCAGACGGAATCGGTCCGAGGCACAGAGACAGCAATTTCCAGTCTCAGAAATGTCCCTGTCGCTCGCTGTCATGATGTGGAATGTCAAAATGGGATGTGGGGTGAACAGGAACTGCTATTGTGGACTTCTTGTAGTAATTCCCAATGCTCCAGATTATTGTTTGTCCTTACAGGCTAAAAGCTTGTATTGTGTGTGATTGTCATTTATTATTATTATTATAGTGATGGCATATTTGTTTCTTAAGTTTGGGATAAAGCCTTGCTTCCCAGTTGTGTTGAACATTATTAGGTTCTTTTTTTTTGTATATATATGTGCAGTGAGCATGTGCACAGAACGCTTCTGTACCTGTTGGAACAGACAGAGAACAAACCACCTACAGAAGCTCGAGCTGTGGGCGTTCAGTAAATGTAACAGCTCTGACTTTAGCAAACCCAGAGAGAGGAAAGGATGGATGGATGGATAGATTCCAAGATAGATTAAAACCAAACATTTTAGATGGCTACTGTAGTTACTTTTTATGTAATGTGGTCTCATGAAGACAACTTAAATACATCGGTTTGTTGTAATATCGTCGTTTATTGACTTGAGTGTGATGGCATCATGATGGTAGGCTATGTAATTCACACTAATAACTGCAAACAAATTGTAGTTAAGTTTTAGATTTTGATAATGACGTTTTTTCTCTAATGTAGGGCCGTGGATCACAGTTAAGTGTTAATTTTATTTTTCATACATTTGCCATAACATATTATATAGATATTAAATATATTTCATAGGTTGTGGACTATTAATGACATTACATATATTAACTTAATTATGTTGCTCAAATAAGTTCAAATAATACATGTATAGATACAATTGTCTATGCCATAACTTCCCATTATTTTAAGTGTATGTCTTATTTAAATGTAGTTAAAGCAACAGAAATAAGGTGCAAATCTGGAAGTTTGTAAATCTGGAATTAATGAGTATATTGCACTTTTGCTTTATTAATTACATGAATCAATATTGAACATCTGGATTGATTAGTTTTACTGCTATTGACTGAATCATGTGTTTTTTGTGCACTAGAAATACGTTTGTAACGATGAAGCACAGTTGCTTGTTGAACACTTTTGGAGCATCAGACACTAAGTACAAATCTAGAGTCAGTACTAACATTGGCAAGGTGCTTTATCCCAATTAAACACACACCACTGACACTTTGGCAACTGCAAGAGGTTTGTTCAGTGGCTTGAATAGTGTGCTTAGTTGAATTCTCCCTATAGCATTAACTAACAAAGCACACCACTATTACTCAGGAGGCTAATGGGAAGACAAAAGTGGCAGTAGGAAGATTCATTACACCAACATGTCTTGTTAAATACAAGCCACTTAAACGTGTGACTTTCCAGTCATAGCAATAGGTTTGTCAAGTTTCATGTATATCTGAAATTAGATCCATTTAGTTCCTTAACATTCCCAAACGAAGTGTATCTCCCAGGCTCAGCATCTCGGGGCTCAATCTTTCATGAATGCCACACAATTTTAAGTTTTCCATGGAGAGCTCTCGTACTGCTGAGGCACGGGAGATGCTAAATATTAGCAGTGGAGACACCATGCCTTTAACCCTTGGATGCACGAGTGACTGGACCCTAATAATATTTAGTATTATATTTTGGTTCACACTAGAAATATTTTATATTTAATCTTTCACTATTTATAATTTTAGATTTCTTTTACATTTTGAAAAAAACCGTTTTGAACATAATTGATGCAAAGATCTCCGCTATTCTGAGACCCTCACAGTATTCCAGTCCCTTTTCAAAACTCATCTCTTCTCCTCTTGTCTATTCATAGCCCCCCCCCCCATCAATCCATGCCGGTTGATCAAGTTTGATAGTCTTATACCCCCCACCCTAAACTTCCCTTATATTGTAAAGCGATTTTGAGTCCTTGAAAAGCCCTATACAAATATAATGTATTATTATTATTGTTACTATTATACTGACAGGTATCAGATCTTGCTGTGTAAAATAATCTTCCTGAGAGGTGTCACTTGTGATGTCGTCTGTGTGGTCTACAGTGAATGTGTTCCTGACAGCAACAGGTGATAAGAATCAAAGGTTCCCATAGGATTCCATAGAAAATGCGTGCGGGTCATTTTTGACCCACTTCTGGAAGCTTGGGGTCGTAATACAAAAACTACAATTTCTTAAAATGTAAATTTAAAATTTGAGTGGCGTGATATCCAAAACATGTTTTTTGAAGAATAGCTGGAATATGAAATGATAACATTTTTTAATTACAAAGATACTTCAAGAAAACCACCTCACCGGGTCAAAAAAGACCCACTTATGCATCTAAGGGTTAAGGAGGGCTTCATTTGCCAGTTTTCCCTTGCTTACGAAGACAGGATTGTTAAGTACAAGTGACTTCTCCTGAACAGGTCTAGTTTTCATGGCCTGAATAAATTATTGCAATTAATGGAGATAGGGTAACGGAGATATGTCAAGTCATTGGAGGTATGGTTCAAAAGGAAAGAAGATGTTGAAATGATGTCAGAATGTACGTGTATTGATGCCTGCAGATTATTATGTGATTAGTATTCCGTCTTATCCGTGCCAAAAAGAAAGTATTTATTTTGGAGTAATAGCCTAACTCTAATGAATGTCTCTGCCTTAATGAAGCAGGGTACCTACCTGATATATTACACTCTACACTCTGAGGTGTTTTCTCCTTGCTCTTGCACAACATCATCAGTCTAGAACGGCTCAGGGTGCATGACCAGCAGTCGGCTACGGAGAACTCCAGGGTTTAACGTGGCAATACTGTGGAAGGGTCCATGAGATATTCACATGTTTCTGTGATTTAGGAGCCATCTTAATAGCCTCGATGAGAGTTATTAACTGGGCCTCTCTGGAGCGTGATTAACCTAATTTGCAGTGAAATAGGCTTTGTTGCTTCTCTGAGATCCTATCCTCTGGAGATGTGTGTGTCTGTGTGAGTGTGCGTGCATGTGGTAAACACCCTGTGCTCAGCAGTCTGTTAAATCCAGGAGGAACAGAACAGGTTGTCCCTGTGAAATAGTGTAAAAAACAGAGCAGACAAAGACGCCGGTTCATTTGAGCCATATCTGAAATACAGACGAGAGATAAAGACAAGTGAAAATGAGAGAAACTTGGACCGGGGTGAACCATAAATGTCTCGTGGTTGACTGGCATAGCAATTAGTAGAGACGAGACATAGGCAGAATTGGACCATTACTGCCATTGTAAAGTTAATTTCCCTCCATGGCATATAACTGCATAGTAAATGCTGAAAATTAAAGCACTGGAGTTCCACTCATATAGCTTTTTGAAAACTAATAACACTAAAATACTAGAATTAATGGGCTGTTGGTCAAAGTTGTTTTACGAATACTAGATAACAAGGATTCAATTACTTTTGGACCCTGTGAAACAGGATTTTAACCTTCATTTGACAGTAAATCCCTCCATTAAAAAACTAATTGTTGTACAGAAGTTGGCTTACAGATT